ATATGTTAAGGCAAGATATAGTGTGATTCATAAAGACATCTTTTGCTGACATTGCATTTACAGGATATAGTTTATAAAAGCCGTTCATAAAATAGAGTAGTTATTCTAGCTTAAGACTAGACCTAGTATTGTTTGTACTTTGTAATAATAAACTTTTTTAAAAAGTCTGTGTTCCAATTTTGGAATATAACATTTGGCGCAGTCAGTAGGATATTCGGGTCCGTTTAATTCGTAAGTTGAAAGAAAAAGTGCGAAAACAGACAATTTAAATACATCCCGTGTTTCGTGGCCCAAGTGTGGACAGTCGAATACGGACAATTTAAACAACATTCTGTGTTTCGTGACTTTTTGTGGACTGACGAATTTTTAAGTGTGTTCCCCTGGAAGCCTTTCGCCTCTTACGGACACCCGGACGTTTCGAAAAAGAAGACGATTGGTCTCGCCTACACTTTTTTCCGCAGAGGACAAATGAGATTTGGCTACCTGGTGATCTTCGCCGTAGCAGCATATTCAAGGTAGGTGGTCTAAGTTATTTGCCACTTCCTTTTACCCCTTTTGTTCCAATATTTCTCTAACAAGTAGTTTCCTTTTTATTTAAGTACAATTCTCTATAAACATTTATAAAATGTCGAATTCTAATATTTCGGAAACCTTGCTTGAATTAGAGGAAAATGCAACTTATTCTAGAAGAGAACTTTTAGAATTAATACCTCATTTCGATGGTGATAACGTGCCGTTACACCAATACGTAGAAACGATAGACTTCGTTTTTGAAAATGCAAAAATTTCTGATGTGCAATACCTATTGAGAATTGTTCTTAATCGTTTGTCAGGGCGCGCAGGACGCATAATTTTAGTAAGACACTATGATAAGTGGGAAAATATCAAAAAAGCATTAATAACAAATTTTGAATTAGAACGTTCTTGCGAAGGTTTAATATCCAATTTAATAATGTTTCGAAATTCTAATAAAATTTCAATCAAAGATAGGTATAATAAGATCGCCAAAATACGAGACCATCTTACAGCATCCGCTACCGAAAACATTTCCAATGATTCAGATCCCATTACAGTTCTTTCCGATTTTATTGGTAAAATCGCTACTACCACCTTCTTAAACAATATCCCTAAAGATGTCGAAATTTCAGTAGCTCATACTAAAGCTGAAACACTCGAAGTAGCTTTTTCTCATTCACTCGTAGCCTACAAAAGACTAAAAGGAAGGGATGATCAAGAAAAATTTACTCAATTTAAAACTCAAAAAAAAGAATTAACAAACCTAATAAAATAGCTATCAAAAAATCTTTTATAAAAAGAGAACCAACTAATGATTCTCGAATAAATCCTAATTTTGATTCTCAACAACCCAATACCTCGAAATTTTCACGTTATAGTGATAAGCAGTCTAGGCTTAGTTTTTCGGGCTCACCCTTTAAAGGCTTCTCTTCAGGATCGTCCAAGATCAAAACATGCGAAATTGCAAATGATCAAANCAGTTTCATTTAAAATCCCTAAAAACTAATAATTTCTTCAAAAATTTCCTCCTTATTCCACAAATTATTCCTTATTTACACATATAATTAACGCACACAAATGAAATTTGTTAAATTGAGACTACTGATATACTTTTTCCTGACTGAAAACATAAGTGCTGTGAATTCATTATTTCGTATTTTGGTATACTCAATAATCACATGGTATTATTAGAGTCATGATACATATAGGCATTCATATTATTTGACCTTCAATAGCTAATCAACCAAAACTAATTTAACTTATTTTTTTAATTACAATTATAATACCTTGTGTCATTTATTATACTACTAACACAATGCGCATTTAAACTTTCCTCAAGGATTTCATTGTATGAAATAATGAAAAACATTTTTCTCGTCAGATTAAAGGTTTAATAGTCTTTTGCATTTTCGGCACACATAGCGTCATCTACGTAACAAACAATCTTTACTTTTCTGACACCCATTTTATATTTTTTACAAAAACGCACCTCTTTTATTATTTCATCCATAATAATGTTAAGCAACAGGGGATTAAGCGAGTCTATCTGTTTAATATCCCTGTTGACTGGTATGGGTTTTTGACAATTTATTGTTTATGACTTTATTGTTTGCGTGTTTTCAATAGTCTGAATCGTACTGGCAGGTGTATTTCTACTGTACAACAAGTGAACTAAGCATAATATTATGTATATCCTAGTAGATATTTTGGAATGTCATTTTTGATAACGTGATTTTTTCAGAACGGAGTCTATTTTCTCACGTACAGGGAGTTGAATGATAAATATAATTCACTTCCAAACGGTTTTGTTTTGTTGACAGCCTATTTCAAGGGAAAGTACTGTTCGCATTACTTTTCAAACAATATTATTGTAACCCTACTTTCTCTTTTTGCGTGTTCCGTATATTTTAGGTGCACATAAAATATTGGTGACCATTACCGTTATTAGGGTTTATGTCCCATCGAGCTTTTGCTTGAACATCTGGCTGCCTCTATACTTCAACCGATGAACAACTTAATATTCCCTACGTGCACACTACACTAAGCCCAGGTTTATCGAAGGCAATAAATTACGCTTCTATGAAGTTTGGTAAAAGTTGCACCGCGGTGCCTAAATCCGCCTGGAAACGCGACATGACAATATTGCTCAATAATGATGAAAAATCAGAACCGTCAGGCAGATGTTTACGGAGGCTTAATTTATGTATAGATATACCACATCACAACACCATTTCGTAAACAAAGAAATTTAAGTGATAAGTGGCGAATATACTATTGCACTTAAAAAAAAATAATGGTAAAAAAATATTTTTAAAAATAAGCTTTTATTTTAATGCTCTAAAAAGAAGAAAAAAATTAATTTATATCAAACCGACAAACTTCTTAAATCACCTGCCATTTAAATAGCGGGATTAAGTAGTCGAGTGACGAGTCGAATCCATGATCACGAAGATGAAGGGTGGTGAGACGACTTACCATCTTCACAGTTTGTGATAGTTTCCTGCCATTTCCCAATTATCTATTAAGGTAGGCCAAGATTTTTATTATACTATTAAATTATTAGTTAACTATAGTTGAATTGATGTGTAGCCATTCTGAATTCTTATATTCCACTTTTAATATTACATTAATGTAATTATAAACAATTTTTAAATATATAAAATTCCCTGTTGCATAACATGTTGAAGTAGTTACATCTCAAAATAAACATAAAAATTCGTATTAGTATGACACGGTAGAGCTTCGTTCGGTGGTATTTGCTTTTGGGCAAAACATATTTTACAGCCTATTTAATTATAATAGTTAAATTTTGTTTTATATTTTTGCTGATTTGTTATTTATATTTATTTCGTGTACCAGAAATACACCGCTTCAATACATGGACACTGAGTTTATACTTATGTTTACATTGCATTAATTTTTGTGTTTACAATGATTAATTGGTACTGGTTTCGATTTTTTTATACGTTGTCAAATATAAAATTCAATTTTTAATAAAGGGATCTTTACAGTTGTTACTAAAATAAATATCACACTTCTTTTAGTTACCTAACCACTCAAAGTTTATTTGGTAATTTCCTATGATGATTTATGTGAAGTATATAAATACAAGAAAATTGATTTAAAATACATGTTCAATGGGTTGCTTACTTTATAATTTAATAAAAACTTTTCCATACGAAAATTTACTATAATAATATCTATGAAGAATTTTGTAAGTTGAAGTTATGATTATTATCTAACAGATGTTCTGCATAAGTGAAACCCACTTTTTTATTGGAAAAATATCTCACCAAACGTTTACAGCCGCATGTAGGCATGAGCGACTCATTCGTGAAAGACTCTACCCACTTCATCGAGAGATTGGAGACATTGAATCTACAACCCGGCGACATGCTCGTGAGTTTTGACGTAGTGTACCTCTTCACTATGGTTCCGGTCAAGGAGGCCCTTGAATACATACGGCAGATCTTCCCTGAAGACATCACTGCTCTCTTCCGCCTCGTGCTCACGACTACATATTTGCAGTGGAATAACACCTTTTACGAACAGGCAGACCGGGTACTATGGAGAGTCCTTTTAGTCCAGTGATCGCCAATTTCTACATGGAGCATTTCGAACAAGAAACGCTTAACTCTACAGTTCTGAAACCTAAATGTTGGTTTCGTTATGTAGATGACACCTTCGTTGTCTGGAGTCATGGAGAAGAAGCCCATGCCAGGTTTTTACTGTACATCAATGCTATTCACCCTAGTATTTAGTTCACTATGGAGAAAGAAAACAATGGGAAACTGGCCTATCTAGACGAACTTGTCAACAGAAAATCCGATGGATCCCTGGGCCACACTGTGTATTGCAAGGTTACACACACCGATCGTTACTTCAATAAAAACCTCAATCATTACCCAGCGCAGAAGCAAGCCATATTGAAAACCCTTATTCATCGAGCTAATCATATTTGGGAAGCTTCTCTTTTAGATCAAAAACTCCGCCATCTAGGTCAAGCCCTTAAATACAATGGCTATAAGTCACAGGAGATCAAACGTGCCCTTCATTCCAGGAAAACTGCACCGGAGACACCTCAACCACCACCCGTAGGTTTCGCCTCCCTACCATATATTAAAACGGTCACGGATCGCATCGGGTTATTGAAGCGTCATAACATCAGAACCTTCTTCAAAACCCACACAACAGCTGCGAACCTTAATAAAATCAGCTAAAGATCCTAGGGACCCTTTAACATCCGCTGGTGTTTATAGAATCCCTTGTTCCTGCGAAGGAGTCTACATTGATACCGCAAAACGCAGCACCAAAACAAGAATAGCCGAACATGAACGCTGCTGTCAACTTCTACAACCTGAGAAAGCGACCCTAGCTGAGCATTTAATAGGAGACCCGAACCATGTTATTAACCACGACGGAACTACGGTTTTATCTACAACTTCGCAATATTACGCTCACTTGAATAGAGAAGCTATCGAAATTTATAAACATCCGATTAATATTAACAGAAAAGAAGAAGGGCTTCGTTTGATTAAGTATGGTACCCAGTGCTAAAGAAACCTACGCAGAAAGCGCCGAACACACTGACAAGCCATTAGAATACACCGAGCGTTCATCGGATGAGTCAAGCCGACGCTGATGCCGACAAAGCCACTCTCTTGCCCCTCCCACTCCCCTGCCCCTCCCACTGCACCACAGTATAAATTTCAGTGATCAGCCAACTCATCACACCGAGCGGCATGGCCTAGAGGTTTAGACCATTGCTTAGCATTCGGAAGGACGCTGGTTCGATTCCGGGTCCGTCTGCCTTGGTCCAAGCTTTCTGTGGTTTCCTTGGATTAAGCAAATGCTGGGGCAGTAATATTCCAGAGATAATCTTCCATTCTCTTCTATCTTCATTTCGTCCGTCTCATCATTCCCACCCGTTCCCACGATTCCTGAAAGTAGGCTGAAGAGGGCCTTCCGAGCTACCTTCCGGCGTTGTCCGGAGGGACTGCCTGCACACCAGCATTACTGGCTGGTGGGAATGAAACACCCAAAAGTTTACTTTTTCAGCTCTTCACCCAGTCGCTGTTGAGACTTCGAGATATAATCTACGTTCACGTTGTCAACGCAGCACTACCACTGAGGATGTCAGCCGCAGTAGCTGATGAAACGTCTGGACACAACAGTTCATTTAGGCCACAGCCCTATATCCCGAATTTTCTTCCTACTATAGAAATCACCATAATTTAGAAGTTATCATATGGTTTAAAAAAATCAAGTTATTGGCTTTCTTATAGTGACCACCTGCACTACAATTCTATGAATACTAAAACAATACATATAATAACTACAATATATATATATATATATACAATAAATACCATATACACAATAAAACAATATGTACAGTTAGTCGAATTTAAACTGGACGCGATATTTCATAAAGTACTCCATACTTCTAGTACTTTGCGTTGACTCCATGCACAGAGCCCTAAAGTGTTTCTTGCAGTTTTGTCGATTGCTTTTTACGAAATAATGGTCTCGTATTTAATTATTCCAGATGGCTAAAACGATTATTCTAGCCTTTAGTACTGTTATTCGTTTTGTCACCTTCAGATATAGGGGCAGCATGTACATTCCAAGTTTGAGGTGGAGACTGCGGTAGAACAATTCGGAAACTAACACCTCCCTCCTGGTTTCCAACCCTCCTGTATGATCCAGTTGCATACATCCCATCAAAGTAATCATCCGGGTTACTTCTGAGAAAGCTTTGTCGACTTTGTCTATGACAGGAAGGTCACTCCGACGAAGGTACTTAACTTCTAATTGTTGAGATGTTCATTCCGCATGCCAAACTGTTGCAGTTGTCTATGGGTACTTTGACAGAGATGGAAAAAGAAACCCCTTATTATAATATACTCTCCTATTGCGAACTTTACGGCATTTATCGCTGCCTTTTCAAAATCGACGAAAGCTTATTGTGGATCTCGATATAACTTTCTGCGCTCACATTCTTTGACACGGTAGCGGAACATGGCCTTATAACTCGCTTCCGTTTTCTTTTCCAAAATTGAGTAGGCTGCGGTTACAAAAACTCCGGAACCCTTCACCCAGACAACGTACACCTGTTGAAAAAAAGGCAGCGTCAAGGACAAGTTTCCGTCGATATACCATGAAGGCGCATTGGAAAGGCATTCTAATTGGTTATCCGTCGCAAAAAGGGTAATCCTTCCCACATCCTCGTTAATTTGGATATGGCGACTATCCATAAACAAACACCTCTCCGATTCTGGTCCAATCGTTAACGACCAATCTCCTGAGAAGTACAACGTCAACGAATCATTAGCAATACCTGTTCTTGGTTGTTTCGAATTAAAAAATTATCACCTTGCATTGATAATTCCTTCAACGGTACGGGAGCTTAGGGATTCCCAAACATTTTATGGTTTCGAAGATTACGTTTAAGGTACTCCTCAATTGGAATCCTGCTCTTGACGGAATTTGTCACTTTGAAAACCTCTTCAGCAAAACTTGCGGGAAAGTTTCGCCAATGTGTCTCTTATGCTCTCCTTCATCATCCGAACGACCTTCATAGTAACGACAGAGTCGGCCGGATGGTTATTTGCACAAGTATAGAGAATCCCCTTGCACTAAAATAAATAAGTTTTTTATCGTACTTTCGTTTGGTCGACAAATTTATTCGTCATTTGTTAGATATAAAATTTCTTACCTTAAATGAACTCCGTTTGCTACAACGTCAGCTTTTATGATAACTACACAGTATGTATAAGTTGTAGGTACAGCCATTCATACGCAGTTTTCCATTTGTACCCTTGTTGCTCAAAATTGTGAAGCCATTTTAAATCTATATAGTTTATATTTTTTGTATCGATGGTTTTTCCAAGTTTTGACACTTGTAAAAATTGAAATATTATTTTCTGTGGTTATTAGTTGAAAATGAGTTTTCGTTGAATAATTTTTGGGTTATTCCAAAATAGTTAAATCAGTACGTAGTCTACAATTATCGTAAACGCAATTATCCCTATAACAGTAATTTGAAATGTTTTGTTGCTAAATTAATGAATAATGGATTTGTAAGTCTTAAAACTCTTATACTACCTATATGTTTCAGGATAAGATTTAGTTTTTCATTAAATAGAGCACTTCACAATCTTTTGGCGATTGGACCTTAAATTATATTGGACTTTGTCTTAACATTACTGTGTCATTATTCAATCGTTGGAGCTTTTTATAAAAATCTTTTTCGTTTAATGTAAAATATGTTTCTTTTAAGGAGTTAATTATTACAATATTATTTTTTATTTCTATGAACTCACATGTACTATTTCTAAAGTTTAATGGTATTGGATAAGATAGATATATATCAAAAATTTCATTCAACGTTAATAGAATTTCAATTTTTAAAGTCAACGTACTCCTAAAAAAGCAATAAGTAATGTGTAAGAGTTCATAAAAGTGGGAAATATTTTCAAAACGTACGTCTATTCGAAGTCTCTTACGAGTAATGCCTAAGTGCAAGTTTATTTTCTTAAGCTCATCGAAACAGCTTCTTAGCGCATATTGTGCGCAAGACAATAGTTTACACCAATTATTTTGATGTTTGTTAATGAATTTAGATAAATAATTGCCTTAGTTTAGTTTACTCTGTCTGAGTGAACGGCCTGATATCTATATGAGGATTTGATGTATGTTTAATATTTAGTTGTTTTAAAAATTCCGCAAAAACTTTCGAAGTAAAATTAGTACCATTCTCTGTCACAATCTCCCTTGGTGTTAAATGTATACAAATATTTCTTTCAAGTAGAACCTTTATTATCTGTGGGGTTTATTGATAAAGGTTTCGGTAAACTTATTTTTAAAAATAGGTTGCGAATCTAGTCCTATTGTTTTCTTTGACACGCATTACAGCTTTTCACAAAGGATTGAACGGCTTTATATGTTAAGGCAAGATATAGCGTGATACATAAAGACATCTTTTGCTGACATTGCATTTACAGCTTATAGTTTATAAAAGCCGTTCATAAAATAGAGTAGTTATTCTAGCTTAAGACTAGACCTAGTATAGTTTGTACTTTGTATTAATAAACTTTTTTAAAAAGTCTTTGTTCCAATTTTGGAATATAACATTTGGCGCAGTCAGTAGGATATTCGGGTCCGTTTAATTCGTAAGTTGAAAGAAAAAGTGCGAAAACAGACAATTTAAATACATCCCGTGTTTCGTGGCCCAATTGTGGACAGTCGAATACGGACAGTTTAAATAACATTCTGTGTTTCGTGACTTTTTGTGGACTGACGAATTTTTAAGTGTGTTTCCCAAGAAGCCTTTCGCCTCTTACGGACACCCGGACGTTTCGAAAAAGAAGACGATTGGTCTCGCCTACACTTTCTTCCGCAGAGGACAAATGAGATTTGGCTACCTGGTGATCTTCGCCGTAGCAGCATATTCAAGGTAGGTGGTCTAAGTTATTTGCCACTTCCTTTTACCCCTTTTGTACCAATTTTTCTCTAAAAAGTAGTTTCCTTTTTTAAGTATCATTCTCTATAAACATTTATAAAATGTCGAATCCTAATATTTCGGAAACCTCATTTGAATTAGAGGAAAATGCAAATTATTCTAGAAGAGAACTTTTAGAATTAATACCTCATTTCGATGGTGATAACGTGCCGTTACACCAATACGTAGAAACGATAGACTTCGTTTTTGAAAATGCGAAAATTTCTGATGTGCAATACCTATTGAGAATTGTTCTTAATCGTTTGTCAGGGCGCGCAGGACGCATAATTTTAGCAAGACACTATGATAAGTGGGAAAATATCAAAAAAGCATTGATAACAAATTTTGGATTAGAACGTTCTTCCGAAGGTTTAATATCCGATTTAATAATGTTTCGAAATTCTAATAAAATTTCAATCAAAGATACGTATAATAAGATCGCCAAAATACGAGACGATCTTACAGCATCCGCTACCGAAAACATTTCTGATGATTCAGATCCTATTACAGTTCTTTCCGATTTTATTGATAAAATCGCTACTACCACTTTCTTAAACAATATCCCTAAAGATGTCGAAATTTCAATAGCTCATACTAAAGCTGAAACACTCGAAGTAGCTTTTTCTCATGCACTCGTAGCCTACAAAAGACTAAAAGAAAGAGATGACCAAGAAAAATATACTCAATTTAAAACCCAAAAAAGCATTAACACAGCTA